ATTTTTTTTTATATTATTATCGTTACTAAACTGGTTTGAAGAAATTAATACAATACATACTGAGAAAATCACTTTGGCCAGACGGGCAAGCCATGTAAAATTAGCGTGGCATTTAACGTGCTAAAAACGTCCAAGAAGTAAATTCAGTGGGTAAATCCTGGACCTATATCCAAGATAACGGGAAAATACGTTACCAAAAACCTCATATTGTAGCTTGGGCAAACTCTAGACAGACCACGACTGCTTGGAAGAACATCTGAATAGAATAGGTATACTTCGGTCAAATATTTGTCAAATCTGTATAGGGAGTGCTGAACAACTTCTTTTGTGACGAGGAACTTGGTGATATAGCCCAATGATATTGGACTGCTAGAACTTTGACCGAAATCTACCCGTCTTTATCTTCCGTTTTCTTCGCTAATCCTTTTCTTGTTCATATTCACTTATATTCTTCTTAATTAGTTTATGATAATTTTGTGCATGGGCTGTATATTTCTGTCTCCATTTCTTGGAGACATTGCTTGATCTCCATGGATAGAAATTACAACTAGCAATATCTAACAACAACAACATAAGTTATTAACTTCGACCTTATCGATTTCTAAGTAAAAAGAAAGTTAATGTATTTTCTCATTTTTCTAAGCACAAACAACTTCAAAATATTTCTAAGTGCAAACCAGGGCTAAAGAGAATAGAAGAGCTAGTTCACTCCGCTCTTAGAGCTGAAGCTACGATTTCCCTCCTCATGACGTCACTCTGTCCACAGATCTCGGAGATCGCAAGCGAAGATACTATGATAACTTTGCATCTTTCTCTTTGTAAAAATAAGTTAGACTTTTTCTGGTTATTAGCTTTCAAACTTTGCGTTATTAACACATTATTTCCGTTCATAAACATAGTTCAAAAAAACCTTCTTGGCCATTATATTAAAAAAAAAATACCATTTTAAACTTATAAAAATACTTTACGAGTTGGTGAAAATGACACTATAAATACTTTATTTTAAAAAGTTCAGTTTTAACTTTAATTATTAAGAAAAATGAGAGCATATATCGAGACTTTTTAATCTACATATTCTTTTATAACAATAAGTTGAGTTAAATTTAGAGTACCTGATTTTAAAATATGCCATTAATTTGTTCATACTTAATCATTAGGAAACATCAACCTTAAACGCTAATTACTGAAACAAAAAAATAATTTAGGCTCATAATGACATTAGAAATTTTACAATTGCTTATAGATATTTAAATTTACGATGATATAATTTGTAGATATTTAAATTTAAGAGAATATAATTTTTAAAAGAATCATAAATATTTAGAATAACTACATTAAAAATATGTTATGAAATTAGGAGAATTTCAACTATATACTATATAATTTATTTATACTTTTTATTTACATTTTAATTTTCTTTGACTTTATAAATTTTTTAATTTTTTTCACCTACTTTTCTTTTTGAAGTAACGAGGTGGTGTCTATTTAGATAATGAATTTTTATAAAAGTTCTTAACGATAGAATAAACGTATTGCTGTTTTATATTAACTGTGTCATTTCGGAATCCATTCTTTACATAGTTGTTCATTTANCTAAAATTAGAGAATCAACAACAAGACAACAAACCCATTCCTCCAGAATCACATATATGTATGTTTAGGAGAAAATAATAGATACCTTTAACACGTTAAATGCCATGGGGGTCACCGGTGGCCGGCACTGAATTGTTCGTATCGCCATGGGGGTCACCGGTGACCAGTGAAGCCAAGATTATTAGAAACACATAGTTCGAGTAAATTTTTAATGCTTTTTATTTTTTTTATATTATTATCGTTATTAAAATGGTTTGAAGAAATTAATGCAATCCATACTGAGAAAATCATTTTGGCCAGACTGGCAAGCCATGTAAAATTAGCGTGGCATTTACCGTGTTAAAAACGACCAAGAAGTGAATTCAGTGGGTAAATCCTGGACCTATATCCAAGATAACGGGAAAATATGTTACGATAAACCCCGTATTGTAGCTGTGGCAAATTCTAGACAGACCACCACTGCTTGGCAGAACGTTTGAATAGAATAGGTATACTTCAGTCAAATATCTGTAAAAAGAATGCTGAACAACTTCTTATGTGACCAGGAATAAGTCTCAGAAACTTGGTGAAATAGCCAAATGATATTGGACTGCTAAAACTTTGATCGAAATCTACCCGTCTTTATCTTACTCTTTCTTCACTAATCCTTTTCCTTGTTTATGTTTACTTATAATCTTCTTAACTAATTTATGATAATTTCGTGCATGGGCTGTATATTTCTGTCTCCATTTCTCCATTGTGAGACATTGCTTGATCTCCATGGATAGAAATTACAGCTAGCAATATCTAACAACAATAACATAAGTTATTAACTTCGACCTTATCGAATTCTAAGTAAAAAGAAAGTTAATGTATTTTCTCTTTTTTCTAAGTACAAACAACTCTAAGATATTTATAAGTGCAAACACCTTCTGAATTTTTCTCAGTCCATTCTTTTCGAAAATATTTCTAAGTCCAAAAAACTTCAAAATATTTCTAATTACGAAAAACTTTCTAAGATTTTTCAAAAGATTAACAAGTTCAGAACTTTTATAACTACAAAGAATTTCAAACATTTTCTAAGTTAAAACAACTTCAAAGTTTTCTAAGTACCAGCAACTTCAAAATATTTCAAAGAACAGACGTTGACGAACAAACGTTTCTAAGAACATTTAGGACGTTGTTTGTAGTAAGAAACATTGTGACGTTGTTTGTATTTAGAAATGTTTTGAAGTAGCTTGTACGTAGAAAAATTAGAAGACGTGTCAGACTTAGAAATACCTTTACTACTACTTGACCTTTAAATATTTTTTCAAGTGCTTTAAACTTTGAAAAACTCCGAAGTTGTTTGTACTTAGAAAAAACCTGAAACTGTTAATCTTTAAATAAAATCTTAGAAAAGTTTTTTGTAATTAGAAATACTTTGAGGTTTCTTCGACTTAGCAATATTTTTAAACTCTTTGGAAAGTTCTTGCGATCTTAGTTGTAACTATTGACACAAAATTTATTCTTGAAATTCAACAATAAAACTGTTTTTAACAAAAAATTTAATTAAAAATTAGAAAATGATGAGATGGGTTGATCATATCTGGACTGAGAAATAGAGTGTAGTCAAAGCTACCAGATTCTATTAAAATCTATTGTGTTTCTGTCTCTATGAGAACACCAAAAAATACGATAATTTTTACCGATGATGATTTTTGGTCAATTTAACAATAAAATATTGTTTTATTACCATGTTGTTTGGTAGCAAAAGTGGAAAAATTCGGTAATTTTACAATCATGGCGTAAAAACCTTTTATAGGTTTACATTAACAGGTTTTTGCTAAGTTAAAATGAACCTTCTTTTGCTGTCTGGGAAGGTTGGTAATTCTATTAGAATTTCTTCCTTTGTGTATACCCTTGTAATTGTTCTCAAGCCAAAGGGGAAAAAAAGAGTCAAACCAATGAATTAGATGGTCAGAATATTTAGCTGTCTAATTACAGTATACGAGTAAAAAATTTAATAGTTAAAAAAATATGCAAAATGAAAAATAAAGCATCTGGTCAGAAAAACAATTCTAGCAGAAAAGAGAAACTATAAAACTTTGAGATATGTGCGTTGGCAGGACAGCACTTCATTAGGGCCTGCTAACACTTGTTGTTGCTAACTTAGTAGCTTGTTTGCTAAGCAAATCGTATAAAATTGTATTGCGATTTTCGGGGGTTGGTAAACGTCAGCGAACAGGGGGATGAGCCTACTTTTAGAAGATAATGACTCTTTTTTCTTGAAAGCAATTAACGAAGCAAGAATAAACAATCTAGAATTTTTAATTGCCTATATTGACTATTTCGCTATTTGACTATTTCGCTTATCGATTTGCGGTTAGTTTCATTCAATTAGGCAAAGAAAAAAAAAAAAGGAACTAGAAAGAAGTCAATATCTCTTTTATGTACTGATAAAAACAGTTTTTGCAATTTTCTGTTTTTCCACAATCTGGAAAATATGGTCCTAATTCTACAATCAAGATGTTTGGACCACCTAATTTTAACTTAATTTCAGCGTACTTCATCCTACCTCTGTCCTGCAGTGGACCGATCGTTAAGACACGGTTCAAAGCAGATCACCGAAGTCAAGCAACACTGGCTGCTGTCAGTGTGCGGGTGGGTGACGACTTGGATCAGACTGCGTAGGGATCGAGGGTGTGCGGTATCAGCTTTCGTTCAACTGTTCTACCGTAAAGTGCTCGACTTCGCTTGCAGGTCGTCGGGCTACCGAAGCGGGGGTGCCATCCCCTTGCCCATTTTGCAGCTCTAGTGCGACGTAAATAAACTACAACAACAACGGCGCGACAAGAGAGCTAAGTTAAAGAAAATGAAACGTTCCTACACACAAAACTTATAAAAAAATTTAAATGAAGTCGAGGACCTAATTACAATAAAATCATAAAAATGAACAGTAATTATTTTTGGGACATTTAAAAAAAAAAGATCCTAAAGTAAATTTCTTTTTCTTTTCTACAAAATAAAAATAATAATTTTTAATATATTTTATTCCCATTGTTCAGTAGCACTTTTTTCAATTTCAAATAGTTTGAGCAAATAGTTTTCAACATGAAAACTTCTGATATCCCACTAAGTTTGCACGAATATTTCGATTAAAAAATAGTTTCGCAACGAACGAAACGGAATTACATATCGTGCGTAAATATGTTTGCATTTTTTTTTTAATCTCATGCGAAATTCTTCCCATCTGGGATTTCAAAATTGAATATAGCTTGAAGAACAATGATAGACATGACAACTTATAATCAACCTTGTTATGAGGAATATTTATTTATTGCTTTTCGGAGAAATCAATAAGGAAGTGATTGAATTCGGTAGCACGAAGTAAATACAGAATTTTTGTATAAAATGACGTAAGCTTTTGGTGAACCTTATCAGGATCTACACAATCCATCAAGTTGTTTTAAGTGATTTCATACTTTTTGCATTTCAATAACCATGAAAATAACGGTAAGTATGTTTCCTACGGCTTTCTTGACTACACTAACGTCCAAATTTTGAGGGTAAGGTGTCCTAATCCTTTGGAAAATGGTGTGTTTATTCAGAAGAAGTACGTCTCTAAAAGTCAAAATTATCATCCGCTCTAGCTAAAGCATATTTAAAGTTAGCTTCTCCAGCCATTATGTTCGAGATCTGGTTGCTATCTCTAGATTTTATTTCACTCAGCAAAAACCTTTTAAGGTAAACCTTAAGCGGTTTGTTATGCGCCTTACCTGTAGGCCCTCTAACCTTAAGACAAGATCTGTGACAATCTGCTCCATTCTAAGCACATTACCCTAAGCACAGTTTCAAAAGTTCGCCAAAATTGGTGAAAATAATTCATGACTGGAATAAAAGCATCTGAGCTAGGTGTAAACTTTCTCAATAATTGGTGTTTAGATTTAACTACAACCTTTATAGTGTTGTTGTTGTTGTTCATTTACATCGCACTGGAGCTGCACAATAGGCTATTGGCGACGGTCTGGGAAACATCCCTGAGGATGATCCGAAGGCATGCCATCACAATTTTGATCCTCTGCACAGAGTATGGCACCCCCGCTTCGGTAGCCCGACGACCTGCGCGCGAAGTCGAGCACTTTANTCCACTTACTTAGTAAAAGGATGGGAATAAGGCTGACTCGAGGAAAAATCGTTCATGTATCATGTGACTATCTTTGCAACACGTGACCGCAGCCTGTGATGCTTGACTTCGGTGATCTGCTGGGAACCGTATCTTAACGATCAGTCCACTGCGGGATCCTTTATAGTGTAAATGAACGTTCGATTCGGTATTAGTATTTCTTTTTAGTTTTTAAGAACCAAATTCGGCGAAGTATTACATTACAGTTACCAACAGTGCACGATTATTTTAAAACAGTAACTATCTTCAAGAATGTTTGAGAAATATCGTAGTTAACCATTTTCTATATACAGTCTCTGGCAAATTATTGGACGCACTATAAGATTCTTTGCAAAATCTTAATTATCAGATGATACCATACAGCTTTATTGTTTTTACGCGACTGAAACCGATTTGCACTTGTTTACATTCGTGTATCAAGGGTTAAATTAGACGATATATAACATAAATTCGACGACTGGATAAATTCGAAGATATACTTTATAAATATAGAATATTTATTATATCAGGTATTATATTAGTATATTATAATAATTAGAGCAAACTATTGGACGCACACTAGTGCTTTAATAATGACATGCTTTGCACGAGTTCATATGCTATACTTTTATATGTAAACATACATGTAATGGGTATTTATTCAGGAGATATTTCATATACTTCCTATTTGTATTTATTTTTAACGTATTGCATTACAATGTTAATCATTGGATACACAAACATAAACAAGTGAAAACCGGAATCAGTCGGGTAAAAACAATAAAGCTGTATAATGTCACCTTATGATTAAGATTTTACATAGAATCTTATAGTGCGTCGAATAATTTGGCCACGGACTGTATATCAATAGCTGCGTTTCATTAGAATTATTGAAGGATGTTATAGAATGAGCATAGAAAGTAACTGAAAGTTGGTTTTAGTATCAAATAAAGTTGTTTTTAGTACGTCATTTGTTTCACATTTAATGCATTATTTATTTAGATTGATTCTATCACAAATGAACGTTGTGTATTTGCTTCATTTTCAGGTATTTATTCTGTCGGCTATGTTGATGATGGCACATGGACTTCCCCAAGTAAACAATAGGGATGTTAATGGATATAATCGTGATGCAGGGCCGACCTCGAATAGAGCAGGAAGTGGAGGTAATACAGGAATGGGAGGTAATACAGGAGGTACTGTAGGATTTGGTTTTGGAGTGAATGGTGGAATCGGAGGTGGAACTGGAACTCAAGCTGGGGCAGGGAAGTGACTTGTTATGTAAAAATACTACAATTCAGTCTGTAGTGTTTTAATACTTCAGAAAGACATGCAATGATTTTTGTCAAGCAATTAAACATTTTAAAATAAAAAGGTGATTAAATATGTTTTATGTATACTGTTTTTTACATCTTTTTCCCTCTATATATGCACATAAAACTGAAAATTCTCATATATATATATATATATATATATATATATATATATAT